ATATCGAATATTATGCTTTATCAAATATATTGAATGAAAGATATTTTCTAAATTTATATTCGAACTGAAAACTTTCACAAAGTAAGGTCGTCTGAGTTATAGCGTTTTGACCGGTATCTTCAAAATTAAGAACTTTAAATCAGATTAACGTTGGCAATTCTATACATAACGCTTTATTGTGTTACTAAGTTGGCAGTGTCAAGAATGGCCAATAGCAGTAGTTAGTCGCCTACACTATACTGGATTTAACCCCATCGATCTTATAGTACTAGAAGATCGATGTTTAACCCAATTTGTAATATATGCCTCTGTCTCTTTCTAACAAGGTACAAATTATGTTACTGTCAGGCACACCTCGTGTCGTGAGTATCTCCTGCTTCAAAGTTTTCAATCGTCTCTTGAGAGAAAGTAATCATTACATAGTTAAACAGCATTAAATAGTTATTAAACTTCTTTGATGTAAAGATTAATGGACCAAAACCGAGATAATTTAATTACCAGTTCTGCATGTCTTACAGAGGAAATTATTTAATTTATGTACATGTACTTATTTACAGTAATTTATTATTAATATTTTTAAATGTTGTGGTTATTACATAAGATGTTTGTCCCGACCAACAACTAGAAAATTTAGAAAACTGTTAATGATTATGAGCAATAACTGCACTCACTACTTTTAAAATATTAAAAAATAATATGGGTGCTATATAAGCATAAGTACTACCAGTGGCGCACCCAGGCAGACTAGTGTATGGATGCTGTCTATTTGCTTTTGTGTAATAGATTTTCCACAAGGGAGCAGCACCATAAAATTACTGAGTATCGTCTTGTGTTTTGAAAATCGATCGTTTAGGTTCAATAGAAAAGAATCTATCCATGGCAAAAATATTGATATCTGGTAATATTTAATGCAGCTTTAAGTGGCAAAGTTATCCCGGTGCATTTGTTTCGCTGCTAGTCTTGGTATTTTGATAATATCAAAATATTTCGATTTTCCGTTTAGCCTCGTCAAAAATTCTCGTCCTCGTACGGATGAGATGACTTCTTCAACATTACTTATTGCAAATGCGAGATCGAGATGTTTAGTTTGTAGAATTTTGCTGAGGGGAAGACTGAATCGTAAAAGTTTTTCTGAACATAAAAGAGAAATAATAAAATTTGATTGGCTCAGCGCACCGATCAGAATACATGCCCCTGAGCTGGAATCTTTGTCCTTCCATGGGGATATTTCTTGTAATGAAATCAAAACTGGATTTAGTAGTTGGACCATAATCATGAATATGTTAATCAGCCGGTCTGGGGGGGTGGGCACGTGCCCCGGTGCCCCCCCCCCCCCTTGGTTGCGCCAGTGAGTACTACCTTCTTCAACAAATAATCTCATCCTTGTCGACAAGAAATGAATTTACGGATACTTATAGATATCTTAAAAAGTGACAGGGTTATCTTAAAAACGAAATAAAAACATTTTTTTGAAGGTAACCTTTCAACTTTTTTTGTAAAATATTAGCTCAAACAGGTCAATATTTGAATTCAATCGCGTTTCTCGTTAGGTTTATAGACACAAATATTGGTTCGATTTAAGTCAATACATCTGTCTGGTAGCTAACAAAAACATTCTATCGAAATCTTTATCTTTGGAAGTAGCAAGCAATTAATCTCATATATCAATGTCAGTCCCTTTTCTTACCGTACGAGAAAAATACTAAAGCAAAATTAGCATCAAAGATCCATTACTCTAGAAGTAACTTTTATTAAAATCAAATGTCATTTCATTTATAAATAGACCTGGTATTTACGTCTTGCATTACAGTGACTGTAATAGTTCTGATGTTATGTAGGACAATTAGGTGCCTCCAGATATTTTACAGAAATAACCATGGGAAGCATTTCTCACTTAGCAGGTTAGGAACTTTACTATACGGGGTGTTCCACTAAGGTCGGCGAAGTACGATATTACCTAAGCATGCAGTGAAGGTTAGAGTAGTTTCAATATCTCATGAACCGCGAAAGGCGTGGCGTATCCGCATAATTCTTCTAATAAGCACGTTGTGAAAACATTGACTCAGAATTAGACCACATGCCTCATTACAACCAGAAAAGAACTAAGGCTCTCGGGCATCAATCAAGTCAACTGGCGAACGTTCATTATATATTTTTATTGCTTAAATTAAAATAATAAAGAATAGGGCATTTTATTATGATATTTGTAATCGAATCAAAGGCTTGTTTCCGCTACGAGAGCTCGAGATATACTGTGAATAATAGATGTAATGTTTTAGGACGTAGAATAAATTAGGCGACGGTCAGAATTATGTTTCTGCGCATATGAAGGTCAAAGATCATAAAATTTTGAAACAACTCTAAATTCTTGCATTGAAAATAATGGTATAACATATTTACTTTTGTTAAAATTTAATTGTTCTTTCATAATATCAATATCAATGTTTGTTATTGTTTTTATTATGTTCAAGATTGACTCGCTCATTTGGGTGGGATAAATAGCGCCAACAATAAACAGCACTTTCGTTAGAAATTTCAAACTTATACTATAGTCATCAATTTTTTGTGCTGAATTCATTTATGTAAAGAAAACTATAGCATTGCATTTAAAATTTTTGAGAAAAATCCATAAAACGGCATTCTCTTGAAATAACGGCATGTATAGGTTTCCATATTGAGGCAAATGACATTACGCATTCACCACGAAATAAAACATGAAAGTCCTTTCCAGCGAGGTATAACACTATGGGTTTTTGATGAGCCAATCCTTAAAAAAATGCATTTTTCTGATCAGACATTAGGGGCTTCCCCCAACCTTTCTGTCGAGAGGTAGTCGAAAGTTATGCGCAATGAATCCGGCTAGCCATATTTGTACTATTTAATATACCTGAATAGGAAACATTTCCGAGAAAAATTCAACTCTATGTTTTGGTATGTAGATTGCGCCACCTAGCGGCCGAGCTACGAACTTGAAAACTATTTACAGCGATTTATCTTGGTCGATTTATTAATCAATTTTTTTTTTCCCGAAGCTCTAGGACCCATACTTTATCTAATACCGTACCTCGTCGACCATAGTCTGACACCCTGTATAAACTTTCCAGTATTATGCCCAGATTACTAACTCAGTTTTTGTTCTTTTTGCGGTTTTAGAGAGAATGATATGTTTAAAGTTAATTTTCAAGATTTATTAAAGAGTAATTTTATAGAAAGATAAGAATTATTTTCTGCTCTCCAGAATACAGGGTGTTTTCTACGTTCGTGTCATAGCTTTTGGGGCATGTTCCTTAGATCATTTTAACTGAAAACTATGAACTATTGATCTAAAACCACTGATTTCCGAGATGCAGAAAATTAAAATGAAAAAAATCACATTTTCTGGAATATACTTAAGATATTATATTTAAATTGAGCAAACTTGAGCTACAACTCTACTTCACCATAAAACGTAGTTTTACGAACTCATTTTCGAAAGAAAAGGGTGATGTTTTAAATGTCACATTATTTTACGTCCGCAAATACTTCACAAACTCAATGACTTCACATTTGCTATATCGAAAAATCAATCAGCGACTGTGAAGTAAAAGTGGATGTGAAATAATTGAGCCTGTAAGGCAAAGAAAACTTGCAGTTTTATAGCACAGCCTCACCAATTTATTATACAGATGTTATGCAATAATACAGATTGCCTATGATTTATTCCCTTGGTTCTTAGCAGTAGACTCATTCATAAAAATGCAACATTTCGGTACATACATAACTATTATTAACTCGTATTATTTGCATAGACTTTTATTCTACGCATATTTAAAATAAAGATCTTAAAATGTGAATTTTAATTCCTTATTTGTGAGGTAATTTTTTATTCTAAGATCGCAACTTGGTAACTATAATAGTTTTTGAGCGATCCATGCGTTAATTTTTCGGTATTTTCAATCATTAAAAGGATATGGATGGGTTCAAGTTAGGTTAGAAGTTAGAAATTTTAGGAAAATGTGATTTTCTCAAAAATGATAGTAGATATCGAAATGATTATTTTTTAAAATTCCCTACTTGTGAAGTGCACTTTTTTAGTTAACAAATGTAATGGTTTTTAAGTAATTTTGCCAAAACTAAAATGTCAAAATTGCACTAACTGCTGCACTGTCCATAACTTTTTTATTTTTTGATCTGGAAAGATGCCGTTTGGTTTGCTAAAGTCTTCGATGAAATGCTAGAGGGGACTAGGAATTAGTTATTCGATATTTTCACTATTAAAATTTTTTTTGTTAACACATTGTATAAGTAAAGTAGATAAGATGACTTACATGTCATGAAAATATACCTACCTTATTTCAATAAAGGAGAAATATGTAAATCAATTTTTTTAGCCTTATTAGTACAGTTTGGTTAGGATTTTATATTTCATTGTCTTATAGAATTATTACAGTAACCGGATTCATCTGGGACAGAAACTGTGGTACTTTATGGCTTGTTGTTCGCATAATGCAAAAAAACAAGGAAAATAATGGGAATGATTAAGTACGTTTTGGATCGAATTAAGGGAAGAAATACCAGCCCCAACTTTCCTGTGATAAAACTTTCTATGCGGAAAGCTCAAAGAAATTAAGCCATAAAAGCATGAAAACAACTTAAGGGAATCGTTTGAAGTTTTATGAATGGATCTGGATAAAAGCCTCCATGTCAACTTCTCATTGTCCCTTATACCCGGTTAGATATGGGGCATAAAGGGGTTGTAAAACAGAGTAGTTTTACGACAATTTGTAAGAGAGCGGATAAAATTGATGGTGCTGAAAGAATGCATTGTTATCGGCAATTTTAGCGGTTGATGTGATACATAGTCTTAAATACATAAATCACAGCTTCGAATCTATCTGTCGAAAGGAGTAAAGGACTTGATTATATTTATATGGTTGAGTAAATATAAAATATAGATGGCGTTACTTTGGTTGCTCGACATTGAAAGTAGTTTTATCAACTTATTTATTGTACTTACTAACCTTCAGGGCTACTTCTAGTTCTTCCTCCCTCATATTGTTAGGCACGTGGCCCGGTGTAGCCCCTAGAAAGGGCTCCCGAGCTCATCGCTCGTTTGCCACTATCGGAACCCTGAAATAAAGAAAAAAAATGAACAATTATAGAAAAAATAACTGCTAATAATGGGGTCATTCGGTACATTTTCAAAAACGTTCAACTGACTGACAACACATGCAAGCATGCGGCAGCGGTTTCCCATGCGGTGACGTCACACCCGCCGATTCAGCGGATACTCAGAGCGACAGTTTGTGATTTTTTTTGGATGACTTGTAGGCGATATAAAATTCTAGTTTTTTTGCAATATCTTTCCGTTAAGCAAATAAAAAAATTGCTGAATGAGCCCATTCACAGTAAGAGACACAAGTGCCACCTATATAATGTGTCGGTCCTACATTTAAAACCGTTTTTATGCATAAAACAAATTGCTTAGAGTTTTGTAAAGTAAAAATCAAAGTTCATAAAATTCTCAACAAATTTCTAGTTCTATTTTACTTCGTTGTGGATGATCTATAGCGTTTGGATGGGGTCCTGCACTCTTGTAAGCTTTTTTACTATTGATTTTTCGAGAAAACGTTATTCTCGATAAATAGTTTGGCTTATCTTGGGAAGCCATGGACAGTAATCAAATATATAATAGAAACATACAGGCCGTCCAAAAAATTTCAAAACGTGAAATAATTAATAATTAATATTAAATTTAATATAAAAGTTTACTTATTTTTTACAATTTCTGTCTGCTTTAAGTAAGAGTTAAATATCTCGTCTTTTTATTTGAGTTCTCGAACAACTTTGTTAAATACAGTTTTTAACAAAACCAAAAAAAGCTTTGCTTAGGGAAAATTTCACATTTTGAAATTTTTTGGACGCCCTGTTTCGCAATATAAGCAAAACTTTTTATCAAGGATAACTTTTTCTCGAAAAATCAACAATCAAAAAGTTTACAAGAGTGCGGTACCTCTTCCGGGGACACCAAGATGAACTCTCTTGTCCAAAAAATATAATCGGAAATGCTACATGTTGAACAAACGGCACTTATGCCGCGGACACCCTGTATACATTTCATTTCCATCTGTATCAAATCAGCAAGCTGATATAACAGCTGAATAGTTACGTGTATCAGTCTTTAGACCGAAAAAACAATTTTGGAAGCGAGCCAGCAACTGTCAGCCAGATCCTGCAGCCAGATAAGGTACCGTTAATGCATTTTTAAGTGCAGTACATTAAGTATGTGGGACATATTTTTCCGCAATAAAAAAAAATGAAATTAAGCATGCATATGTATGTTCGAATATCGCTTAGCCGGTTCTCACTCATTAATTCTACAAGAGGATCACTTTATGTACCGTTAAATGTATGTGTTTCGTATGTACGCCTCGAGTCCTTGCGAAATTATTGGTGAAGTAGTGTCACCTTCTTTTTATGATAATTGAGCGTAATCCAAAATGAAATAATAAATATTATCCTCGTTTAGGCAGCTGGCAAGGGAAGAACGGAATTGTCATTGTCACGAAACTTGACAGTTAATTATATTGTTTTTTTAGCAGGAAAGTAATGAGTAAAGCGCCACAGTACCTATTAACGTGATGAATGTCACGAATATAGGAACTAAAAAAGTTGTCAAAACAAACAAGTAATTAACGAAAATAGTTTGTTTTTTAAGAAAATATGTTCTAGTATCGTTTAGAGTTGTTATTTTTTCTATTACATAGACTAGACAGCGATGATGGATATCTGAATATTAGAATTATTTATTAGGTTTTTGTTACTTTGTTATTTTAAAATTTTAAGTATGTTTGGAGAGCAAAATACCCCCATAGATATATTTTCGTACAGAGAGATCGATATCTTGAAAAATTAATATGAATGAAGATAATTAAATTCTGTTATTTCTACTAACAAAAAAATTTTAGTACACAGGATGTTCCGAATTTTAATTACAAAAATTCAGGAATCCACGGAACAATTAAAAATAATGACATGCAGTTTGATAAATAACATTGTTTCCAAAATTCCATCGTTTTTGGGATGCTGTGTATACACCTATTGCAATTTTCTAAAAAAGGTTTTAAATAGAATTTTGACGAAAATATCCAAACGGTGCGAAATATTTTTATGAAATTTGGGTTTTTAAGGATACCAAATACGCTGGTCTAATTATTTTTTATATATTTCATAGAGGGCGCTAGTTATGCTACATTCGTACTACATTTTAAGTTCTAATTTTTTTGAGGTTAGGTTTTTTACCATTCGAGTTTCAATTTCAAATGTACAATTTTATTTTCTAAAAATCTTGTTAGAACTTCCTAATGTGGACGGTTTTCGAGAAAAAAGGCTTTTAATTGAACTCCTACAATATTACGGTGTAGAAAATAAGTGACTTATTCAAAACTGTCAAAACTTATTGATTGATGTCCCATAGACAACGCATACATTCTTAGTAATATTTTAAACTTTATATCAAACTTTTAGTGGCAGTAATTAGTCATTACTAACTACAGTCACTAACAATCACTAAAATACTAGAAACAACACTTTGTGAGATTTCTTTTTGTATTTTCCTAATGTTTTTTTTTTGTAATTCTTGAAATGCAAATATTATTTTAAATGAAAACGATCTCTTGACTTTTTAGTTTAGCAAAGCTTTATCGATTTGGTACAAATAATCAACAATTTGTAGTTCATACTTTTAGATAAATTTAAAAGTATACAGAGTATTAGGCAAAAACGTATAAAAAAAATAAGGAGCATTTTCCTTCTCCAAATCTAACAATTTTTTCTGATTTCAGCCTTTACGACCTGGTTTCATAGAAATGGGGTGTTAAAATTTTCAAAAAATAGATATGCATTTAAAAATGAATAGAGATACACAATCACTTAAATAAATTCTACTGCATTTTGTATCATAATGACAAAATATAAGAAAGAACAGAGCAATTTCTCCATTAATTCGAAAGATATCGACATATACTTGTAATATTTTTCTTTAAACTTTATCATCCTATAAAACAAAAAATGGTAAGATTTCGAGAACAAATTTATATATCAAAGAGCATCATTTTTTCCTTCCTTCATTGATGCCTGTGTCATGGTTAAAATTTGGGATATCCGGCATATTCACATCGCTGATACTATACAGGGTGGTCACTTTTAAGGTGTACACCATTAGTATCCCCTAAACTAGAAGATTTACAGGGTTGGTTAAATTACAAAGAAGTAACATATTTTCATGCTATTTCCGATTATGAAAAGAAATTGGAGATAAGTTGCACCGTTTCTGAAATAAACCGAAAAAAAAACTTGCCCTTTCCTCTTTCTTCCACATCTGTTCTATTACTGAAAGTAGAGTAATGAGAACAAGACCATATGCTCCATCTGAGGGTTATAACATTTTTCTGACCTCCCAAATCTTTATGTTTTCATAACCAATTTTTGATTTTCTTTTGGACGCCATATTGGATTTTTGCACCACTAGATGAAGCATTAAATTTTGAGTTCAACGATGTATAATACTTAAGTGAAGAGATTTTATTATTATTTATTTTATTTAATCGTAGTTGCCATGAAAAAAGCAAATGAAAATTTTGACATGTTTACTCACCGATTTTCGTTACCATATTGTCAATAGTCAAAAAAATAAGGAAGAAGGAAGAAAAGCCAAGTTTTCAGTTTTTTTTTGGAGATAGAAGTGTTTATTGAAACTTTTTTCTTCAGAAAATGTAATTAAGTTTAACGTTTTACTTAGTCGAATGTATGGCACGTGTTTTTATGGCAGTCATTAGCATTGTGTATTGTCAGCATAGAGCTGCACACGGCTTGACCACAGACTTAGCCTATTTCTTCTACTACAGCGCATATTGCCGCTTACCAGATAATATCGATTACTAATGTTTATTTATTTGACTGTTATGTCGCCACAAAATTTCCGATGTCTAATTATACATAAATCACTCTGTAAAAATATTTATCAATTGTTACATAAATTTTATTCAGTCCGCAAAAAAATAACTTTAGAATGTTAATTTTGAAGAAAACGCCCCTTACTTCTTTCGTACATCAAGGCCGAGAATTTTATCAAACTGATTTTCAACTGCTAATCTGGAAAATAATTGAAAATACATATAAGAAAAAATCTTATAAAACCACTGAAAATTAGTGCATTTTCAGAAATGAATTACCTAATTTGATTACCTTGCATCTAGCTCGTGTATTATTCTCTTTTTTCTGTAACCTGCCATTTTCTGTGAGAAAAAAATTCAGGTAGAAATAGATATGATCTCTCTTCCAATTACTTCTGGACATAAACTCATGTAAAAACATTTCTCGCGTCTATGCTGAAATAAATCCGGCTATAAACAATTCAAATGCATCTTCTCGGGCCGACTAATAAAACGCCACATATTTTAATTATCCCGGCTCGCAGAACGGGGCTATTAAGATTAAAATAACAATATATTCAGTCTTGCAAGAGATCATTATTAAAAGTAATGGGGCGCGTTTGGCAACCTACATTAAAACTAATATGTGTAATAAAAATAAATTCTGGTACGACACAGCAGATGGACGACCTACATTACTCTCTACATATATTTAAGAGCGTGTAAGTGACAATTATAAATTAGTATTTGTTTCCAATATTTCTGCACTATATTAACTTTAGATGTGTGGCAGTTACTGCTTCCGATATGTACACATACATTAGTTTTTTCTTGTATGATAAATGAGTACAAGATCGCAATATTACGGGATAAAACTAATATATCGCTATTTTAAATATTTTGAAGTGTACATGTTCCGATATATGAGGTGTCTGACATTCATATTTCATCTGCTTTTTAGTGTTACTCTTTGAACGATTTAGCCAACACAATGTTTTAATTTTTGTTTGTGACTGAAAACACTTTGAAGTAAAAATGTTTGTGAAATAACCGACGTTTAATCTTTGCAAAGCTGTACACGAGAATAGGTATCTTTCTGAAACATTTGAAAAATATCAGTTTTGATAAACAAATAACCGAACTTTCACTAATGGAGATATTTAGTGTGGTTGGCAGTATTGCGTTGCGCTGCGCAAT